CTGGACACTGCGTTGATGCTTTTCCACACCCAATTTCCCAAATCCAACAGTCTTGGCAAGAGCCCCTGGGCTCACCTGGGACTGGCGTCAGGCCCCGGGTAGACAGCTGGGCAGTGCTGCGTACCCCCATGAGGGACGCAGACCAAGAGGCTTACTAAGGCACTGGAAGATTGGGTGGCTGTGGGATGACCAGCCCGATGATGGCCATGGGAGCCTGCAATGCTTCTGCATCACACTCTGCTCCACACTCCCATGGGGGATGAATCAACCCCAGTCATTCAGATAGGGCGCCTGCCAAGGCTTACCCTTCTCTGCCCCTGGGGAGTTTTCACAGCTGGAGGAGAGGCAAGCCTTAAAGACAGGTCCTCACAGACGCTGTAAAACTGCTGTGTGTACAGAAGAGGGGTCTATGACAGGAGAGAGCTCTGTAGAACTGGGGGTCACGAGGTCCTCTGCAGGCTGTGACAGGGTGGGACAGGGTGGGGAACCATCTGTCCAGAATGATGGAAGGGAGTCTCAGTCTCTCTAATGTTTGCTCAGGCCACATGCTGGCTCTATGTACCACTTTTATTAGATTAAGATGTGGCTGAAGTCAGTTCTAAAAATAAGAAAAGGCAGAAGAGCATTTCCCAGTGTAATTCTGAAAACCTAGGGCGGTGACTCTCCTAGTGTGACCCCCACCTGCAGTGCAGCAGCAAAGTCCCGGTTAGAAGTGCAGGCTCTTGGGCTCCACCCAGACTGGCTCAAGCTTGAGCCCTTTGGGGGTGGGGTCCTGTGGTCTGTTTTAATAAGTCCTCTGGGTGATTCTAATGCACATTCAAATTGGAGAGCTGCTAGTCAGGGGGTGAAGCCACCATCATGGGGGTTTGGACAGCTGGCTCTGACAGTGGATAAGTAGGAGGTACAGGTGCAAGTCACCATCACAGCACAGCCCGGTGTCCCCTCTCACTGCATCATCGGTAGGATGCTCAGGTTGGATCCCATGAAGTCGGAGGAAGAAGCACTAAGCACTGACTTCCAGATCCAAATCCCAGGCCCCCCTTCCACTGAGTAGTATGTTTCCTTAAGGTGCTGTGTCATATGACTTACCCACCACACCTGTCAGACTGCAGCCTCCTGGACACTCTCAGACCTGCCTGCCCCCTCTGTCGTCACCCAGGAGTCTGTGTGACTATCAAGGCTCTAGGTGATTTTTAGGATCCGTCTGTTTGGAAGTCACAGATCCAAGGGAACGTCTGGAAGGTGAATTCTAAACAGCTGTGCTGAGTTTTAAGCCATCGTATCTGTGAGACTGAGGAATAACTTGGATTTTTTTCTTCCTGGAATGAAAAGTGAATATACATTTTCAGGTTTCTTCTTTTTCATCTCCAAGCATATAACCATCTTTATCCATTCAAAATATTTCCAAAATGTGCAGCTGAACATCTTTCTGTCATCTTACATAAAGAAATGAAAATTTTGAGAAACGTGGAAGCTTTTTCCCCATGAATTTTTTTCACGGGGAATTATAAAACTCTCAGGATGAGGGCTTCTCACACCTCCCATGCATAGGAATCATCTGGGAATGGTGCAGATTCTGATGCTGTACGTCTTGGAAGCAGGGATGCTGAGAGTCAACCCTGATAACAAGCTTCCCCCCAGGCCCCTGTGGCTGGGCCAAGAACCTCACCATAAGTAGCAAGGATTTGCAACTGTCCTAAGGCTCGGGGCCAAGTTGATTCTGTTCATCACTTGTATCAAGTGCCTAGAACAGTGCCTGGTACTAGGGAGGTGGGCAATTTTATTAACCCGTTCTCACGCTGCTAATAAAGACGTACCTGAGATGCTCAATTTGTAAAGGAAAGAGGTTTGATTGACTCACAGTTCCGCAGGACTGGAGAGGCCTCAGGAAACTTACAATCATGGTGGAATGGGAAGCAAACATGTCCTTCTTCACATGACAGCAGCAAGGAGAAGTGCTGAGGAAAGGGGGAAAAGCCCCTTACAAAACCATCAGATCTTGTGAGAATTCACTCACTTGCTATCACTAGACTACCATGGGGGTAATTGCCCCTGTGATTCAGTTACTGCCCTCCTGGTCATATGGGGATTATGGGATTATGACACTTAGGGATTACAGGAACTATAGTTCAAGATGTGATTTGGGTGGGGACACAGCCAAACCATATCAGTGATTAAAATCTGCTGAATAAGTGAATCAGTGACAAAAATGAATCAAACCACATATTAATTATTTTGGAACTGTTTTAATGATACAAAAAAACCCCAAAAACAATGGTGAGATCTCTTGATTTCTAATTGAGGCATATCTTAAGCAAGAATGGAATTCTGCCTGAGTTGCTTGTCGTAAAATAAATCTAACCCAAGAAACAAAAGATGTTGTAGACACTGATGGAGGCGGATGTGACCAATGAGTTCCTGGGACCTGCTTTCTCAGCAGAGTGACCACAGCCCCAAGGTTCTCGGTGCGCTGCGTGAGCTCAGAGGGTGTCTGGAATGCAGACAGCGGAGAAAAAAGGCAGAAATGTGGTTTTGCAGAATGTTCAGAAAGATGTAATATGTGATGGGCAGCATCTGGCTCTATCCTTGTGACCCTGATAATTCTGAAAACAAACATGAATCTCCCCCACATTATTTTTTCGAGTTTCTATAGTCATATATTGTTGACAACTTTTGCTAAAATTGGGTTTGAAGCAAAGGGAGTAAGCCTCCCAGATATGTTCCAGACACATGCTGAGGGGCTCAACCATTCTTCAACCAAAGAGGAAAAAAAAACCAGACAGACAGTTTCAGCTTCTGACTTTCAGGGCCATTCGTGTCTCCAACTTTTCTCCTCTCAATGGGCAGATAAAGATGTTTGACTGCTCCATCACTGAATCCCATCCCCAGCGATTTAAGTCACTTTGCAAAGCTCTGATTGTAGGAGGTCCCAGAAAGGTTCAGTCCCTGGTTGTTCACTGGCAGGCTGGTTTGGGCTGTGGAGAACCAGCCCCAGGCCTGATGCCTTCACTTGCTGGAATGGTCTTTGACATACTCTCTTGTAGGTTTGGGGCGCAAAGAGAGTCATGCGTGTCCCCAGTTTTTCACAGTATGATCCTTGCATTTTAAAGCAACAGTTTTGTTGTTTTGTTTGCCCACCATGCGCCAGGACTTCCAAAATGTTATCTGACCCAGACTTCTTGCAGGCGCTCCTTTAATTGCTTACATTTTCAACATATTCCAACCCTAGCCTTGTCTGAGCACAATTTACATGATTTAGTCTAGACAGTGGGTAGTTTTATTTTTCAAATGACTCAATCACAGATTGCAGTGTCTCTGTCTCTTTAGTTGCCTATCCCCTGATTTCTTTGCAGTGGTTGATCTCAGATGGGTCCCACTTGTGTTCTGTGGTGTGTGCATTAGGCCGGTTCATGAAAGATAATCTAACCGAGCCCACTCCCTTCCTTCCCTCTCTCTCCCTGTGCTGTTGATACTCCAAGTATTGGGGAGGCTTCAATAGGATGCCAACACCTTAGCAAAATGAGCCCCAGCAGCTGCCAGTGCCTACCCTCGTGCATGGTGGGCCTGGGAATGTGGGTGATGGTGCCACTGTAAAGATTGACTTGTCAAGCTTCTCCCCATTGGACCACCAGAAAGGATGGCTTGGCAAGGGCATTCCCTGAAGGGCACTACTTCTTTCATGCTAGGCTCAGAGAACAAGCCTGCTATCCCCAGATATGCACAAGTTTCCTTGTGGCCACGCAACCATCATTGACACACTCAAAAAATACTCTAGACTTCCAGGCATTTCTCCTTCTATCCATACCTGAGATTAATTTTGGCCAGCCACTCCCAGTTGTAGAGAGAGAGATCACCTTGAATGGTCTGGGTGGAGGGGGCGGTGCTTTCAAGTGGAGAGGCAAGAGGAAATGAGGGGTTACCCCAACCAGCAGTGACAAGGGCTGGCCCTGAGGACAAGAGTTAGGGAAGAACCCAGTCCAGGTAAGTAAGTACCTTTGCGCCGGGTCCCAGATGGTAACATCAGCAACTGTGTTGAAATACCATAAATAGAAATACCATATATAGAAACCAAGATGTTAAGTCTTTTCATGTTTTTAAATCAGAAAGATAACTTGTACCTAACTTTATTGGCAGAGGGATCTAAGTTTGTCCTTCCTTGCTGCCTGTAATTTGAAGAGATAATAATAATCTATGAATATCAGCTTTTTTAATCAGTATACTTATTTATTTATTTATTTATTTATTTATTTATTTATTTATTTATTTATTGAGTTAGAGTTTTGCTCTTATTGCCCAGGCTGAAGTGCTGTGGCATGATCTCAGCTCACTGCAACCTCCGCCTCCCAGGTTCAGGCAATTTTCATGCCTCAGCCTCCCAAGAAATTGGGATTACAGGTGCCCACCATCACACCCAGCTAAATTTTTTGTATTTTTAATAGAGACGGGGTTTCACTATGTTGCCCAGGATGATCTCAAACTCCTGACCTCAAGGTGATCCATCTGCCTCAACCTCCCAAAGTGCTGGGATTACAGGCATGAGCCACCGCACCCGTCAGTATACTTACTTTTTAAAAAAGTGAACTCAGCCCCGACAAAGCCCAAGCCTGGGAACCCTCTGTTGAGACCGTATCATCCAACTCTAGCAGTTCAAATCCCAGCCTGCGCAAGTCCTGTCACTGGCCAAGGCTGTCTTCTGTCTGAACAACAGGAAGGGTTCCAGGAGCTGTGTCAGCTGGTTGGTTTAGAATGCTTTGCTTGAGGCCTGGCCGAGCGCATGCCTGGTGCTTGCTTCTGGAAAAGGTGAGCAGGGATGGGGCTCGCTCGCGCACATCCTGGCCAACCATAACTCCACCTGCCTCTACGAGGCTCTCTTCCCCATTGAAGTCACTCTTCCCTCACTGGCCTGCAGCAGTGGGTCTCTTAGAAACGTGGGCACACCGAGGTTAACCAGGTGCCTGAGAGCCTGGGGCCATGGTGACATGTGTGTGTTGCTCTCGCAGTGCACAGCCAGCTGTGGGGGTGGCGTTCAGACGAGGTCCGTGCAGTGCCTGGTGGGGGGCCGGCCGGCCTCAGGCTGCCTCCTGCACCAGAAGCCTTTGGCCTCCCTGGCCTGCAACACTCACTTCTGCCCCATTGCAGAGAAGAAAGGTGAGTGCCTGGGGCCCCTCAGCATGGCCTGGGCATGGGGCTGGAATGTCAGGTTTCTGGAGCAGTTCCTTGGAGGGCCTGGAGTTAGGGTCTTACGTCTGACCTATCTTTTCTGTCTTTGCATCTTCTCCAGTTCTACAATGAAATGGTCCATAGAGCTGACCCTGCTGCCTCTCATGACACCCCAGGACAACATAGATGGTCATGACATAAGCATGACTTCTTTCCTATATCAATGTTGTTCACTGTATTTAAAGAATCAATCTTAACTAAAGCAGCTTCTCTCCCTAGGTTAAACAAAAGCCTCCCTTATTAACTGGGTGCCCTCTAAATGCCATCCCTGTGCACACAGAAATTCCCCCAGCATTGCAGAGACAGATGGCCAGGCGCCCATTAAGGCTATTCTGAGAGATAATGTGGCTCGAGGAAGGCAAGTGGTTTGGCTCAACCAGAGGATTGGAGAATTGAAATTCAGTCAACAGAGACTCCAATGGGTAGATGCATGGTTGAGTGAGTGGGTTCAGCACAAGAAGAAAATTTCAGTTTTGCAGGAAGCTTCCAAGAAGGGTCTTGTGAAAATAATGTGTTCCACAGGACCCGCATCAGACCTGGGGGCTGCCTTTGTGCAGCAGCCGCGGAGTGTGACAAATGCGCTTTTATTTGCCAAACAGAGCTATTAGCTGGCAACATCAGCCACTGCGCTCGGGATCACTGAGTAATGCAGCTCTGCTCATTTTCAGATGCCTTCTGCAAAGACTACTTCCGCTGGTGCTACCTGGTACCCCCGCACGGGATGTGCAGCCACAAGTTCTACGGCAAGCAGTGCTGCAAGACCTGCTCCAAGTCCAACCTGTGAGTCAGGACAGCTTTCCACGGCAGAGAAAGTGGCTGTGTGGCAGAGAAATTTCCCACAAATGAGCTGTACAATCTATGTCGGAATACATCCAAGGAAGATCAAAGCCAAAAGAAGAAAACTGTGTTAGGCTCTTTGACCAGGAGTGTATGTATGCACGTTTCACCTTGAGCCTGCGTGCAGACCTGTGTCCCCACACACACAGCCTCTCCTGTTAGGCTGAAATGTGGCACCCTGGCAGGCACAGCTGTGGCTCGTGAGGCAGAAGGCAGGCTCCACAATGGGAGAGGCAGCTCTCACCCCTGCCTGTACTGCAGCTAAATCAAGTCAAAAAGACAGGCGGGGCTGAACTTGCTTAATGTCTGGTGCCTTATAAAAAGAAGGAAAGGCCACGAAATAAGGAAAACATACAAAATATCTGCCCCCAAGTTCACCAGCCTCCCCTCCCACTGGGGAGGCCCCTCAAGCCATCAGGAGTGACCAACTTCCTGAGTGGAGGTCAGGGGAGCTCCAGGAGGCTGCCCAGGCTCCTCCTCCTCCTCCCCAGCTGCTGAGCATCTCTTACTAGGAACCTGGAGCCACCGCCGGAGCCAGCGTCATCTCTAGGGCCAGGGGACTGCATTCTGATTTGGGACTTTGCCTATGGAAATGGGAAAAATGAAATTCCTGCTAAGGTGCTTCCATCTCTTTCAGATTCATGCCTTGAAGGAGAGATTTTTATATTTTATGTTTTATCTTTCTCAGTTATTTGCAAGCGAGTGTCCTTTTAAAACCCCATTTCTTCATGCTTTTCTTTGTAAATGAAAGATCGGAAGTATAGGTTACATCAAAACCCTACCATCCTGAGAAGGTTTATGGTTCTGCTGTAGCAGACGTCAGCCACACAGCCGATGTGACAATAACCTTAGAGTCCTGTGTTTTGTTTTTGTGTGTTGTGAGATTTTAATCTGTTTTTTTCTTTTTTCTTTTTTTTTTTTTTTTTTT